CTATGTTGCCCAGGCTGGTCTCAAACTCCTGGCCTCAAGTCATCCTCCTGCCTCGGCCTCCCTAAATGCCAGGATTAAAAATACCTTTTGAATATTACTATGTCCTTACATACTGTGTCACAGAGAATAGTGTTGTGAAAGCCAAATGAAAGGATAGTCTTCTGAAGGAGGGGTTTCACAATGCTACAAACAGGTCATGGAGGATGAGAACTGAAGACATGAGGACAGTGGTCCTCAGCCACAGGTGATTCCTACCTTCCACCCTGGCGACATTTGGCTATGTCTGGAGACATTTTTGGTTATCACAACTGTGGAGAGGGGTATGTGTGCTACTGGCATCTAGAAAGTAGAGGCTAGGGATGCTGCTAAACACTCTACGACGCATAGGAAAACCCCAACAACAAAGAACGATCTGGGTTCACAATGTCAATTGTGCTGAGTTTGGGAAATCCTGCATTAGGAGATTAGGACACTGGTTCCCAAACTTTGCTGCACATTAGAATCACCTGGGGAGCTTTTAAAACTCCTGATGCCCAGGTCACACCCAGACCAATTAACTCAGACTATCTCAGGGAGGGATCCAGGCATCAGTATTTTAAACAGATCCCAGGTAATTCCAATGTGCTGCAAAGTTGGAGAACCACTGGATCAGGAGGTAATGGGTTAACTCTCTGACAGAGGAGTTTCGACAATTGCTGGCACACAGGGGACTCTCGATAAATATCTGTCAAATGAATGAATGAATGAATACACAAATGAATAACATCATGAGGGTGGAAGCTAATGGTCAGAGGCCCAGGGGGATCAGCTGGAGGTGGGGCTGGGGGGAGAGCTTTGAGAACAGATCACTCTTCCCCGGACTCTGGCTGTGTCAGGAAACAAAGAGGCAGTAGGTTGAGGGAGAGGCAGACAGAGAAAAGATTGTCTATTTTTAGGTTGATGAGGATGAGGAATTGAGAATGTTTGTAGGAAGAGGGTAAGGAGAGAGAAAAAGGGTAAGGATATGAGATACGAGGGGTCAGCAGGTGGAGGGGATGAGATGAGATGCCTGTTGGAGGCATGAGCTGTGAGGAAAAGAGACGTGTTCCTTGAGACAGACGGAGAAATTGGGTGACAATATGAACTAATTCTGAGGTGGAGGTGAGGGCAGGGGTGGAGGTGGAGTCTTGAATGGCCTCTATCTTCCTTGTAAGTAGGAGGTGAGATCTTCTGAGAATGTGTGTGGTGGGGGTGGATTTTGGACTGGAGGAGAGTTGAGAAGTCTTGGGTCACGCATATGGAAAGCCAGGGTCAAGGAGAGCCCAGGTGGAGCCCCGGTGAGGTTTGAGATTGTGAATCCGTACTGGGTCAAACCAGCATGACCTTGGGACTTTCTTCAGCAATACCCATCAGCATGGAGGGGAGAAACAGGGCAACAGGAGCCACGTGGAGCTGGTAAGTCAGGGACAGTAGAAAACCAATGGAGGAAAGAATTCCTTGGCGTCTGTGAGCAAATTTCAAAATGGCTGAACACGATGTCTAAGCCAGGAGGAAATACGAGTGAAATTAAAAGTGCCGATGAATTGGAGAGAAGGGAGTAGATGAAAGATTGAGACACCATGAAAAGTAAGAGAAGATTCAATGGTAGAGAAAAAGAATAAATTGGGTCAGAGAGAAGAATTTCATAGATTGAGATTTAGGAATATAACCATTTCAAATAATGATAGAATCTAATGTGTGGGTTTGATTGTATTATCTCTCTTTTTAAATTAGAGGGTCTCACTCTATTATCCAGGCTGGAGTACAGTGGTGAGGTCATAGCTCAATGCAGCCTTGAACTCCTGGGCTCAAGCCATCCTCCCACCTCAGCCTCCTGAGGAGATGACAGGCATGAGCCACCACACCCTGATGATTATATTATCTCTAAACCTCTTCCAACTCTGAGAAATATGACTGAGCGAATACGTCATTTACATCCAATTTCCAAGTAGCTGACAATGTGACTCTAACCAATCCTTGTTACATGTGAAGTCCCATTAGGTCCAAGTCCGTGGGGATAGACTTGGATTATCTTGGGGATTTCTGCATGTGCTCGATGGTGAGGATGATCAATCAATATTGGATCTTCATGTCTTTCAAAAAATTTTATATAAATTCTATTCACACCGAAATTTGAGAGTGGGCTATAGGAGCTAGGAAAGATGAGAGTCTTTCTGGGTCACATAAAAGCAAATATATGACTAAGAAGAAAAAAAAATCTTTGCCCCACACATACCCACGTGATAGAGGTTTATCTTCACTTCCCTCTTTCCCTTACCTCAGCCAGTTTGCAATACCCAAAGGCAAAACGTCAATGTCCTGGAACAAATCACTTTGTCTGAGAGGCTGAACCACAAGTTGGTGTTTATGGGAAGACTCAGACTTGACACACTATTGTGAGGAATGGAGGATGCTTGTTAGGGACTTGTGATCATTACTGAACCAGGCAGGGGGACCCGGGCTTGTGATCTCCGTCTCTTTATGCTGCGGTCTGAAAGCAGGAGCTCAGCTCCCTAATTGCCCCATATGCTGGTTTTATTTGGTGGCTCAGCTGGGTGGAGTGAACTCGGGGAAGAAAGCATTCATTTTTAGTTACTTCACCAGATTGTTAATTTTCACTCTGGAGGCATAAATCACCATAATTACTGTAATCCCAGAATGAAAGGGCCTCTATTCTGATACAAGGGCAGCAGCTATCGCTACCAGCATAGCTGTTCTACCTGAGGCCCAGGGCTTGGAGAACTGGGGAAGGAGCCGCATATGGCTGGCTCTGCCAGAACCCTCTAATATTTGGGATGCAGGGCACGCTGAGAACCCATT